TTTTTCCTGTGATCCAGGCAGAGATTGGGGGCAAATTCGGAAAAGCAGATTTCGCTCCATAATCCATAAGCGGCATTGGATTCTGTATTCATTCTTTCTGTATTCAACCCTCTTCTCTTTTGTTTCTCATATTTATCTGATAGTGAGCTCCTGTTTCTACTTTATCACATTTTAATGTAGTTTTTGATACAGAAGACTGTGATAATTGGTTTTATTTATCGTTTTTGACTTTAATTATTTGGTTTCAGAGTTGCTTGATGTTTGATGGCTTTGCTTGATGCCTTGCAGTGGTGCCTCACGTTGACTCCGATGACGAAATAGTTTTTGGCATCCACGTACAGATGGCAAGCCATGATGTTTTTAGGTGGCGCGAGTACTCTTTGGGTGTTTTTTGCAGAAAATGCTCTTAATAGGACAGAAGGACACTGTTACGCTAAAAGCAGTACCAGAAAAATAGTGACTAATGGAGTAACTGTCAAGGATGGTCAGATAGTTACAGCTGTATCAGTCTCACCTTTCCGTGAATTTCTCAAGAAAACTCCAGCAACCTTCCCACTTTTCTCTGTAAGCAACTCTAATCATCCTAACGTTGGAAATTGCAGTACGTTGCGAAGCGGCGCTGTAGCGCGACGCTGTAGCGCTACGCTGTAGCGCGACGCTGTAGCGCGACGCTGTAGCGCGACGCTGTAGCGCTACAAGTATGAACGCTGCCTAAAAGAAATAGTTTAAGGAAGCGCTTGAAGGGGTCGGTGCTGAAGGTAGCGGATAACATTCTTGTCCATAATGCAGAATAAGGATGAGCAGGAGCCGAGCCAGTGACACTAATAGAAAGATCAATCCTTAATGTATAAATGCTCACATTACCGGTTAGCCCTCTTCAGGTAATAGGCGAATACTTGGGTTCAAAAAAGTATGACAGAACTTTCCCGCCAACCTAATACTATACATTAGCATCCATATGACGGTTAGAATTCTGTTCAATCGCGTGGGGATCCTATTAGACTCACGAAGTTCGAAGGAGTGTGTGGCTTATCCCGAAAGCAATAACTCAGACCTGAATGTCTTAGCCCTTTACGTTCGTTTGAACAATGATCTGCCTCCGCTGTACCAGAAATTGTATTCATCCTCTTCATACTCCAACAGTAAACAATCTGCTTAAGTTAATGGGACTGGATATCAGCTGTGTTGGTTGTTCATAAGGAAAATCCCAGTTAGCCCTTCTACTTTTGATGCCGCACTTTCAAGTTGAAATCCTGCTCATAATCGGTGTCTTTTTCGTCGCCATTGTTGCCCTTGTCGGATTGTTCGCCAGTTCTGTGACGCTAGTCAGACAGATACTCGATTTTAGCGCAATAGATATTTTCATTGGAAACTCTAGAATTTGGTTTGGTGTTTCTCAAGTTAGGAAAACTCACTGGCCTTTTTGGCTGTCAACAGGGGCAATCAAAGCGTTACGGGCTCCTTCCTGCTCGAGGGGAATTGATGGTCATCGTGGCGACATGTGAGGGTGACATGGCTACGACAAAAGCTTGAGAATAATAAAGCTGACAAAACCGAGGAGCAGAATTTTCTTTTGAAAACCCTCATAAGCAGGCCAGGGGTTGATAATTTAGCACGTGATTATGGCTCAATGTTCTTTGAGTTGTATGTTGAGCGTTCATAATGAGATTAATCCATAGAACAGCCTGCATCATTTGAAATACTGTTCAAACTTCTGACTATTCTGTCAAATATAATCTTCAATCTTAGTGACTGCTAAGATTTGAACTTACACTTATTAAAAAAATAGCTGAATCAAGAAACTTAATTGCTTGCTGGGAGTCCTACCATTCGATGTTACCCCTCCCCCCCTTTTTTTCCCGAGCTGTTTCGGACCTTATGGCCAGTAGCTGCCGTGTAAAAGCAGAAGAAACGGGGAGAGGGTTGACGCTTTTTAGTTGTTTCCGTATCATCACGATGAAAGGCTTGTAGACTCGGGAAATCTGTGACTGAGGATTATCCAATAGTTTCTTGCTTGGCGTTTTCATTTTCATTTTTTCCACCCTTCGTTTCATAGCAGAGAAACATTGATAACAGCGAAGAAACTTCCTTCAAATTACTGCTTGTACCAGGTTCGCTATAAAGCCCTCATATTACTGCCTAGATGGTCGTTCTATACATTCGGCTAGCATATTGTATTCCTTCGATTATTCTCTATATCGCAGTTATTTATGCAATATCCAAAGAAAAACAACGCCTCTTCGGCTCCTTCTACTCGCTGTTGGTCATTCAAGCAGTTACGGTAAGATTATCTTTCCTTATAAAAGAAAGCATTAAGCGCTGCGCATTCATTATGTTTGCGTTATTGCTGTTCACCGTTTTTAGGAGAATCAAAACCGTTTGAAGCCGAAAAAGACCAAGTAAACGCGTTCGGCGTTGATCATTTGCGTTTCGACGGAGAGTCAGCCTTTGCGTTGATCCATTACCTACACTACCTGGGAGGAGATAGGATCGCCGCGAGCCACGACCGGAGGTGCCACTAGCCATATCTTATGAAACGGGGGCCAACGCAAAATTCATTTTAATTTACTCATTGTGAGCCGCCTCATTGTAATGCATGGTCCGCTCGGCTAAAACTCTTCAGGTCATCCGGAGGGAACAGATCCGCAATAATGGTAAGATACCGTAGAATTGCGACGCCGTCTCTTACCACTATTTGCTAAGCATTTTCTCCTTTTAATCTCTTCCTAGTTTCTCTATCTCTTCTGGCTAAATATTAGCAAGGTTTGATACTCCTGAACTCCTTTGTAACTCGCGCTCCAGAACTTGCTTGTCTTCACCAACAGCTTCTACTCTATACAGTTGGCTAACGTTACGAATGATCAGTGGTGGAGTGTCATTTACACTGGAGCACCGGAAGCTTTGATTCGTCTGGTGAGTCATTATCTTTTCAACTCTCACTACTACGACGGCCACTAGGACCGAATAACCTTTTTCGCGTATGTCCTGGGTCGAGTCGCGTTTGAATGTAAAGCGCATTAAAACAGTACAGGAGACAAACTCCTGTCGTCGGTTTTACTGATAGCGTAGCACTTTTGACTGATGTATGTATATGAATTGATATGAATTTACCCAATTTACGATGAAAGACAACCAGTTCAGTTTGAAAAGTTTTCTGTGTGTTACGAAACATCGCGATTTCAGTGCGCATGCTTGGCCATGCATTTCGCATTTTGTACAGACTTATTTGACATTTTTTATTTCGCTCAATCGCATGGCTGCTATCGTATGGCCAAGGATGAATGATCAAGTGAGGATGAATTCTTCTAAATTTACGTGTTATACAACTTCTGGTTTATATACAGAGAGACTTTCGTCCAGCGGATGATCAGAAGAAGCTTCAATAAACAGTTAGTAGAGGAAAAGTATCGAGCTGGCTGGGTCACGATCCTCTGGAGATGAGCATGACTAGCGATTCCCGGAACTTAAGCTTGAAACTGGCCAAGAATTCCTATTTTTTGTTTTCGCATGGCTGTTTCGCAAGTGACGTCTTCCAACCAGATTACTTGAGACAGAATTAAAATCGAACTACCATTTGAAAAGTGTCATACAGCAAGGGACTTGGGCACATCCAAAATAGTGTGTGGGCACAATTCTCGAGGAATGCCAGGCGGCAGCGGGTAGTTATTCGCGGCATAATCAAGCGGCCTGCCCCAAAATGAGTTGTGGGAAAGTAACTTGAAAATTATCATCATAACAAGCCTTCTTTCTAATACAATTGATGTTCGCATTCTGCTTACAGATTTGGAAAGCTGCTGTGCCTCTGTTCACAATTATCAGCTATCTTTCTCCGTTTATCTTTACACACCCCTATATTACCGAGAAAGCGTCGTTTATCTATAGCGCAAAAATAAGCGGCTACGTTGTTACTTCTGATTCCGTATGTTCTCTTTGCACAACAGTATTTATTTTGTCATCTGATGTACATTTAAAAGCACTCCTACTATTCCCAAACTGGGTCTACGGACAGCTAAAACTCAATCCCTTTAATGGCGCCAACTTTCTTCTTTTCTCTGCGCTCTCTTGCCTGGATGGCGATTTATGGCCACTTTGACCTTTCACATTCCAACTTTTCACGCATACTAAGTGGCTCATCCACCCCGATATCCCTTCCCCTCAAAAAAACTCATCTCCTGGCTCGCATCGTGTTTTTTGTACCTCACGATGCCTTGGCAGTGGCAGTCCCTTATTGCTCTGCGCTCTGGCCTATCGTGGCAGGACCCCCACCAAAAGTTTTAGTTGTCACGTAACCTCCCAAACTGCTCGAAGCGGTATGCACGTGATGAAGTGCATAGTTAGTGGCACTCAACAAGCATGTGTGATGATGGCGACTTAGTCAAGGGTTTTGGAACGAACCCGTTGTAGCTACTCTGGAAAATTTGTGCGCAGAAGAAAGATTTCATCTCTGAAAATTTTAGGGTTCCTCTCAAATAGGGTTCCTCGAGACCGAAGACTTTGAATTGCCTACCGAGGCACCCTAGGAGACTTGGCAGCGTAACAAGGCGTCGACGGCGAAGAGAATCAAGGACTATTATCAACATCGTGCGGACCTCTGCGCTACCAATACCAAAGATAATACTCGTATCTCGTCAATTTTTTCTATTGAAACACCTATTTAATTCAGAGCTATTACGCCGATAGGCAAACACACTGGTAGCTGGGGCTGAACTTTGAGAGGAGATAATCCTCAGCTAAGAGAGAGAAAACGTGAATGTTAACAAAACATCAGCCATATGAATTCTGATAGGTCTTGTCATGACGTTATCACGATGTCTCCCAATGGGAGCAGATTTGTAAGAAGGACTCCGCCGCGATAGAGTCTGGGTGGGAGCTCCCTTCAGGTAAGGTCGCAGAACATCGCTCCCACTCCCCCCACCCCTCCCGCCACCCCCTCAAGTGAACTAGCGAGGATGCACGGAATGAGTAACCTTTTTGTAGTCTGTGATTGTCCGATAACCAGCAATGAGTCCGTATTTTCCTGTACTAATAATAAACCCAGGCAAGCAAAGTCCGAGACAATGGATGTGAAAAACCTCGCCGTCCGCAAAAGAGTATGAATATGAGTTCAAACAGGGGCAGATTTTCGTGCGCATTGGGTCGCTGGCTCGATATGTCCCACCACCCACAGCAACCATCGAGTTTTCGCTATGCTTCCCTTCAAAAGCATTGTTTTTCGTTGCAGAACGGGCTCCGAAGACGGAATCTACAGGAGTCACTGTGAAGAAGAGGTGTACTGGAGCGACGCTGCTCTTTAGCGCCTTTATCTTACAACTTTCTCCTGCGAAGCTTATCAAGGGTTGTCCACTGCGAGCCACACTACTTTCCCACACAATCTTTGTTATCCACATTGATCGTCGCTGAACGTTCCCTCGAACAGACGCGTTAAGACTACTTTAAAAACCAGTTTTCCTCGAAAAACACCATTACTGTACTTCAAAAGAGGATTGTTTTAGAGTTTCCCTACAATATATTTGCAATTATACGTCTTCATGTGCGTGTTCGTTGTGGCGTCTACCTGTGTGAGCATCGTGTCCGTCGTCAGCTTTTGTCAGCGATCGAAGCGCAGCAAATTCGTACACGCTGAACGTAGTATGCTCTCTTTAGCGCTGCTGAGCTTCCTTATTGAAATCGGATATTTCAGCCTTCTGGTGAGTTGGTGAGAGCTTGGGCGCTGTTTAGCGACGGGGGGGCATTTTGTACTAACATTGCTTCCCTAGTTCCGGTTTACGAATCTCACCATGGTAAAACTTGTGAACGCCTGTGAAGCTGGAGTAAGATCGTCTAGCCACCATCCTAAAACGTGTCAACTCGAAAAGGCTACCTAGATGGGTCGGCACATCTATGAAAAGCCGAATGCCCCCCCCCGTCGACAAACTGCGCCGAGAGCTTGAATTCCGAAGGAACTGTGGTGGTGCCGGGGGTGCGTAGTGTATTATTGGTTGGGATGAATGAGTTGATGCGACGGTTGGGAATAAACGGCGAATTATTATAACTGTGGGAAAATGCAAATATATACATAGCGCCCAAAGTTGTGCTAATGATGTTGCTGAGGCGGGATGGTATAGAATCCACCATAGAAGGAGTTCACCAAAACTAAAACTTCTACATTCTTCGGACTCGCGTTGCTAAATGCGGAATTCGTAGGAGGGGAAGAAGTAAGGCAAACAAATCTGCCGAGATCTGTAAGCGATTCAATGATGTCAAACTTCATTTCGCACTCCTGAGATTGACGGTAGGCCGGCTCCGCTACACGTCACTCGTCAGTTTCAGGTACTTCTCTGGTGATAACGAATTATTCCTACACATAACGGCTCATTAGGTGCCCTAGTCTCCTAATGTGTCTTGATAATTTGAATAGAAAAGTAGTCTAGTCCCAATTAATCATCTATAATTTCAACCTTAAGCAAAGGAGACGTTTTTTATGTGAACAGCTTTATGGCATTTTACCAGAACCTATACATAAAGCTGCGAAATTCAATAGCCCCAATTAGTTTCACATTCCAGACCAAGTTATTCAAATCGAGTGGCGGGCTGGGAAGTTTCGAGCCAACGAACCGGCCTAGAACAGTACATTAAGTCCATTCACTTCGCGGATCTCAGACATTCATGCAAATGCCGGGTATCCCTTATGTATTATCATTCTCACATAGAGGTATGCGTACAATGACAGAGCGAGACTATCCCGTGTTTTTTCAATGTCGAAAAAAAAAGTTCAGTGTATTCCACTGCAACAGCCTTTCAATGTTTCTGCCGCGGAAGCTCTTGCAATCTTCCGTTAATAATCAATCTCACTCAAGTCAAGATTCGTGGAAGATTTCACTAGGTATGGATTGATTCAGGGGCTTCGTGTGAGAAAGTATAAGCTGACGAAAAAGTGGTGCATTAAGGTGAATTATCGAAAGCGCAGCAGGCAAGGAAACAGAAACAGAGCATCACTACTGCAGAGGCCACGAAAGAAGAGCAAAGTCATTATAAACACTCCGACTTCTCAAATTCATGGAAAGATGGGTCATTTGTACAAATTTTTTTCTCTGGAAACTGTGCTTTACCTTAAGTCGTTTTTCATGTTTCAACTAACTTGAACAAGAAGATGAGCACGAAGATAGGGTGTTGTTATTAGTTGAAAGTGCGCTGTACGCTCGCTTCCGAGGACGCCTTACCATATGCGGAGGGAAGGGGTTCGTAGCTGGAGAATTGTGGCGCACACGCCATCCAATTATGAGTTGGGTGAGCCTGGCAAAGGACAATTAGATGTACTTTTGTGACTCTGCCCTCTGCCCACTTACAACGCGAAGGGCTTTGAAGCTTCCCATGATCTTTGAATAGAGAACCATAGCTACATCTGTAGGGTCTGCGAATCTGAATTGCGAATATGTAGATTAAAAGTGCTACGCGCGGACTCCCAGCGTGAGCTCTGGCGACGTCAAAATTGCTTATATAATCAGTTTGGGCTGTTAAGTGCTGGTCTGGCTAGATGCTGGTCAGGGCCTACTGTGGCCTTGGTAAACGCTCTCGCCTTCAGAGCCAAATGGCTGTTTCAGTCCCGTATGGCACGAAAACTTTTGCTGCCGTTGGCGCACGTCTCCACCTGTGTAAGAACCTCTACTCTAATTTTTGCGGAAATTTCCCGAGTTTGGGGACCCTGCCAGAGCAGAGATCAATGTAAATCAAAGGTATGACGTATTCGATCAAAGTGAGTGATTTGGTCACCTGTCTCGCCTCTCTCGTGAGACACATTACCATCACGACCAGGTCCAAAGTTTTGCTCCAGGGCCGGGCAGGAACTCGTTTTGGGCGGATACTTTTGACGCCCTGAGCACTCGTATCACAGCCGTTTGACGTGAAACAACGTGTGAAAGGCTACAAGCGTTTTCTCGTCAAATGGATGTGATATTCGTTTTCAGGGGGTCAAAATATCCCCAGGAACGAGTTTCTGGCCGAAACTTCGAATTGTCGGATGGGTAATGAGTTCAGAGAGGGTGGATAGTGACCAAATGAATACTCGATCAAACACGTCATATACTTGATCTACTTGCTCTGCTGGGCCGTAAACTCGGGAGAATTTCGAAACCAGCGGGATACAAACCCACGAGCATTTTGCTTTGAAGCGAGACCGCTACCACTAGGCCACGGTGGCACTGCCGAGCGATCGATCAGCAGCGCTTACGAGCCAAAACTGAGTTTTCGCAAACTTTGACCGCCCAGAACTCGTCTGGGAGTCCCCGTAGCACTTTTAATCTGCATATTCGTAATCAGCATTCGAGACTCTATCGATGTACCTAGGTCTCCATTCAAAGTTCCATGGGAAGTTCAAACCATTCCCTTGTTAGGCACGCAAGCGTATTGT